AGAGAAGTTGTGCCTAACTACATTTCCACACTACACTCTTATAGTGCTGCTATTCCACTTTAACTGCCCTGTCTGCTTCCTGTTGTATTCTGGAGTTTGTAGTTCAGTGAGGCCTAACAGCTCCATGGCTGAGGCTTCTAAATGCCCCCTTCCTCAACTGCAAATCCCAGGATGCAGTCAGAGCAGTTAAAGTGGAATAGCAGCACTATAAGAGTCTAGTGTGGAAATGTGATTGATCAGAGCTCAGGGAGGGCCTGAAACTGTCTCAGAGCCCATGGTCCCTGGAAGGCATGGCCCCCCACATGCAGGTCACCACTGGAAGGTAAATGGCCACCTCCAGCCACCAAATGGAGCCCAGCAAGCAAGAGGACAGTCACCAATAATGGTGTGTGGAACTGTGTGAAACAAATGGGTTTTATATTTTGTTTTTATCTGGTGACAAGTCTAAATACCCTAAAGACACCAGATCCCATCTTGGAAGTTAAGCAGGGTCAGCCCTAGTTATTACTTGAATGGAAGATTGCCAGTGAATCCCAGGTCTTGTTGGCGATACACTTGTCCCTCCACATTTGCAGCTTTGCCTTTTGTGGATTTGATTAATATGTTCTATCTAGGAATCTCTAGGCCCTCCAGCGCAACTCTGTGGTCAACTTTCACCAAAAGTCACACTGAAGGACCTAGAGATTCCTAGAGAGGCATTCCTTCAGGTAAAAAGAATAGTGTTTTTGTTATTTGCAGTTTTTCCACATTCATGTGGGTCCTGTGTCCCTAACCCCAGCGAATGTGGAGGGACGAGTGTATTTCATTGGAAGGAACTGGCAAAACCACCTCTGAGTATTCCTTGCCTAAGAAAACCCATGAAATCCATGGAGTCTCATAAGTCAAGTGGTAACTTGGAGGCACATACACCCAGTATTAACAAGAGCCAGAGCCTAGCAAGAGATACCACAACTGAGTTTTCATGAAGAGCACGGGGGCATATGTTGGAGTGGACCAGCTCATCATGCACACAATGTCAGTGACAGAATCTGGCCTCATATCAGTATCAGAGAGCGTAGTAGGTCAGTAGGATCTGGGTTGCCCTGTTACTGCAGATGACTTGGCTTGCTAAGTATGTGTGCAGTGTCCTAACATGAGGGGATGTTTCCTTTCACTCTTGTGGCCCAGATAAATGTTGCCAGTGATAAAAAATGATGAGGATTTTAGATAAGAGGGTGGACTGTAAATATTTTAATTAATAAATAAGCATAGAACCATTTCAATAAAATGAAAGTTTTATTTGTCACAG